TGTCATTTTCCTTCCATTTTAAGTGCCGTGGAAAGTTGGTGGAGGGCAGGAAGCAGGGGAGTAACAGAATCTGAACTGTGTTTTCAAATCAAATCATTCTGGCCAGGGAGGGAGCCAGGAGACTGGAAGGGAGATTGATGCGGGAGTGCAGGGGATACCATCCTGCTGGCTGGGACCAAGGCAGATGGGTCAGATGGAGCAATGTGGGAACGCGCGTGGAGGCTGGATATGTTCTGAAGGTGACACAGGCAGGAGGGGCTGTAAATCTGGAGCCCAGGATAGAGGTCAGGGTTGGGGGTTTCATCTGGGGCCAGTGGCATGCAGCTGTGTTTGAGCGCTCAGGCAGCTAGGGAGAGCACGGCCAAGGGAGGCCGGCAGGCAGCCCTGCGATGTTGAGAAGCCAGCATGGTGTTGAGAGGGCAAGAGGCAGCAGGGTCAGACAGGACAGGGTGAGGGGCAGGTGCACAGGAAGAAGGGAGGGGCCACCGGGACGACCTGACGAGAGGCCAAGAGCAGAGAGGACAGACTGGAGACCTGGCTTTGCATTCTGGAGGTGATGGAGCAGAAACCCACTTGGGGATGACAAGAGGCGGAGAGGTTGTGACAATAGAAAAAACTCTTTGCAGACATCTTGCTTTGAAGGAGAGCAAAGAAATTGGAGGAAGATATGGCATATTGATTTCCCTTTCTTTTAGTAGGTCATGAGCTTCTTTTGAGGAATCTCTGCTCTCCCATGCTCAGCACATATGGTTTGAGAGGGGCTCAGGCCCTATCTCTGCTGCTGCACGTGACTCAGCTTGGCCACGTGGAGCGTCACATCCCCTGGCCATGTTATTGGTTAAGAAATGGGCTTGTGACTTGTGTTGGTACAATCCTGAACTTCTTTGGGAGCTACAGGGGACACACACTCTCTATTTTCCCCTGAATCTGAATTTCGGAGGATGTGCGTCTGGAGCGGCAAGAAGTTACCACACGAGTCCTTAGAACAAGAAGAAATATTCTGGGAAGCAGAACTGAGAGACTCATCTGCACTCCTGAGTCCCTCCAGGCCTCAACTCACTTACCTCTTGAGTCAGTAAATTTCCTTGTTTAAAAAACTGAAGTGAGTATGAGTTAAGTTTTCTGTTTCTGTTTCCACACAAGAGAAAGTGTCCTAATAATAATAGCCTTCTATAATAGCTTCCAAAGGGCACCCAGGCACAATTTCCTTTGCAAAAGGCACGCCAGGTATTGTTTTAGTTTCATAGGGCTGCCATAACAAAATACCACAAACTGGGTGGCTTAAAACAACACAGATTTCTTCTCTCACAGTTCTAGATGCTACATATCCAAAATCAAGGGGTCAGCAGAGCCACGCTTCCTCTGAAGGGTCTGGGAGAGTCTGTTTCAGGCCCCTCTCCGAGCTGTGGTTGGCAGCTCCTTGCTGCAGGTGCATCACTACAATCTCCGCCTCCGTCTTCACGTAGCCTTCTCCGCACTTGTCTCCGCGTCCCTTCTCTTCTCACAAGGACAGTCATGTTAGACTAGGGCCCACCCTCGTGCCTTAACTCCATTAGGTGTGTAGTAGGGTCTCTAAAGAAGGTCCCATTCACAGACCTAAGGCTTAGGACTCAGCGTGTCTTTTGGGGGAACACAGTTCAGCCCATAACATCGTTATGATTATTCTCACTCTGCATGTTATTTACACTTTGCATAACATGATCAGAGTCATAGAGTCAGTAAATTGTGGAATAGAGACGCAAACCTCACGACTTCAATTTGAAGTTACAAATTCTTAAGTGGTGGCATAAAAGATTTCCACTTCGAATTTTTTTTAAAGAGTGTAAATTATTTATAGAGTTTCATGAAACAGTTATTTCTCTTAGACTGTGGAAATAGTACTGCATTCCATGTCTGAGTGTGATAAACCTGGACTGTTATTCTTTCTTACCATCATACTTCTGCTTGAGACCCATCTGTGACCTTCCCCTGCCCCAGCACCATCCAGGGGGCCGAGCCCAGTCCTCTGTATGGGGCCCTTTAGGGGACAGCTCTCTGCAAACACCCCGAGCACATGGATGTGCCTGTGCCTCCCCAGGGAATCAGGAGTCCCAGCTCAAAGCCCGCGGGCCATGGGAGCACATCCTGAACTTGGGGTGGTGACGAAACGTGGCTGGGCTGTGCCACCGGCCTGGATATCTGGTGGATGTTAGTCTAAGCCAGAAAATTTAAATCCATCAAAAAAAAAAAAAAAAAGGAATCGACATTACCTCAATCAGGCAATTTGAATCCTAGAGAGATAGGCAGGCTGAAAAAACCGACATTTCTACAATGCTGAACCCAAGTAGAGAGTAGGAACTGGGGCACCATTCTTAGGGCGTTTCTCTCTCCTTTTATTTTTTATTTTTATTATTTATTAATTAATTAATTTATTTTTGAGACAGAGTCTCGCTCTGTCACCAGGCTGGAGTCCACTGACTGATCTCAGCTCACTGCAAGCTCCGCCTCCCGGATTCAAGCGATTCTCCTGCCTCAGCCTCCGGAGTAGCTGGGACTACAGGCGTGCGTCACCATGCCCGGCTAAGTTTTGTATTTTGAGTAGAGACGGGGTTTCACTGTGTTGGCCAGGCTGGTCTCGATCTCTTGACTTTGTGATTCACCCTCCTCGGCCTCCCAAAGTGCTGGGGTTACAGGTGTGAGCCACCGCGCCCGGGCTTCTCTCTCCTTTTAAGGATTGTACTCTTAGGATTACAAGATACTGCACATCAAAAAATGAACCCCAATATATGGTCAATTGAGGAACTTAAAAATGTCATGCCAATAATAAAAGCTTGCACACAATAACTGAAGTTAGAAGGAGGTAAATATTGCTAACCTATTGTGGATTTTAAAAGATAACCTAACCCTTTATTATTTTATGTGAGTCTTATGTTCCCGAAAGATAAAAGAATTTAGAAAAAGGCCAAGAAAAATGGACGATACACATAAAAGAACACAATCACCCAGTTCTATGAAATGCATCCCCTGGAGGGGAGCTTGACGTGAAAATTGTGATTTGGAGTGAGAGAGGGTGTGTCTGAACATGTTTTCATCTTGTGGTCTTTGGTTCTCCTAGGATGCAGTGGAAGAAAATGAGGACATTGATAAAATTTTAAGAGGCATAGAGTCCCCACGATAGATGAGCAGTGAAAATGCTTGGTCACTAGCGCAGTTTTCACCAAGACGCTCCCAGCAGGACTCCTGCTTAAGCCTCCAGGCTCACGCCTCCCTCCATCCCTCCCAGCCTTTGTTTCAAGAATGTCCACTCATTTGTAAACTATATATTTCGCTGCTCTGTGTCTCCAAAACCCAAGCATGATGCCTGGAGCACAGAAGGCACATGGTACATATTTGTGGCATAGGTAACTGAATTAATGAAAACAGCCATTCAATATAGATTGGATCCAATTCATTTTTTTTTTTTCCTGATTTCTTTGTACCATAGAGGCTAGCACTGCTGTGGTGGCAAGCAATCATAATAGCTAAATATGTAAGGAGCATGGTTTTCTTGATAGTTAGGACATGCCCTGCTTTGTTGAGCTAGTCTAAAGGAGAACTCCAGGGCCATGAGGCTCACTCCCTGAGGAGCACCAATGTGGGAGGAACTCAGCATTCGGAACCCCATTGATCCTTACCGGGAGTGGAGAAGCTCACTCACATTCTGCCGTGTTTGAACACCTGTGTAGCAGGTGGCAAAACAATCAGCTCACACATCATTTTCCAGATCTTGAGCCCTACCCAAATTATATTCCCATGGGAGAAAATATTGGCCATATTTCTTAGGGGCTTCACGCCTGGAGAATAGGAAAGCTCAGGTCCTTTGCTGCCAGCGGGGACAAGCTCTGACGGGTGCCTTATCCTCTTGAGGTCCCTGCAGGATCTGGCTGGCGCCACCCCACGGGCCGCAGCCTGAGATAACCCCCTGGTGTGACTCTTCTCTGCCTCACCATCCTGCTTCCCTCACTCTGTCCAGTCTTCCCCGGCACACTTCCTTAGCAAACACCTCCCACTCTGTCCTCACCTCACAGAGTTGTTTCTGGGGAACCTGATCTTACACACATGTTTACTCTGAGGGACAAAAGCTGTATGAGGTGCAGTAACCACCCCCAAGGAGCTTTCAATCCGGTTGAACTTGGCTTGAATTGCATCTGTGCTTCTCACAGGAGGGTGGGCCTTCAATAGATCTAGACAGAGCCTGATGACACAGGCGTTTGGGAATCTTGAGGACAAACCTTCTGTTTTTATAAAAATCTGCCTGCCTTGTGCATGGCAGCAGGTTTGACTCCAGTCTTGCTTCACTAAATTAAGCAAAAACAAGCATTATCACATGTTTAGATTTCCTGGAGTCTCTGGCTTCAAGTAGCTTGATGATTCATTTCTGACAAGCTCATAAAACCAACCTCTAGCCACGTCCAGGCCTTACGCTTTGTGGTGGTGGAGTGGGTTTTCCCTGGTGTATTTTTAACCTAAGAACAGAAGCAAGGCTAGCCACACTGATAAAAACAAGTGAAGACTTAACTTTCAAGGTGACCACAGTCAGATGGCAGCATGGAAGCCAGCAGAGCCACTTAATCTTCCCAGACAACGGATCGCTGCAGTACCCAAGTCTCTCGTGTGGGTTTCTGCCGTAGTCCTCTGCACACGCTCACTAAAGGGATTTGCAGTTCATGGGTCCAACACAGCAGCATGACTATGGGTTTGGGCAGGGCCAAAGGCCCTCAAGGCAGACGGGTTACCAGGACAGTCATGCAGCCTTTGCCGTGGGGATTTGTGAAGACAGCCACAGTTGGAGACAAGGGTTTTCAGAGTTCTAGGTGTTACTTCACCACCCTCCCCTGCTCTGAGCCTACTCTTTCCTCTCCTGTCTTTGTTCTGCCCCAGATATTCTCCCAAGCTCTGTCCAAAAAATCACCAGTTTACCCCTTGAAATTACTTCTCAAGAATTATTTTCCCCCAAGAAGTTGCAAGCTGCTGCATCCCACCTTGGTGAGCTAAGAGCCTGGAGATCAAGTCCTGGACGAGCGGCCGGACCCCTGGCTGCAGGGCAGCACCCTCATGGCCTCATGCTCAAGCCTTGCTTCAGACACCCTGAAATCAAGAACAAGGGTGCGTTCTTAGTTCATGGCCTTTTACAAAATGCTACAGATAACGGAATTTAGATGATGCAACCCTTTTACTTGCAGTACAATGTGTTTTTAGCTGAGGGGGTTTTCAGGGGAAACACATTATTTAGGTTTAGAGGGTATCACACTTGTCAAAAGCAGTTAAATGGGACATAGAGCCCTCAAAGAAATGTTCAAATGTAATCTGGACATGGTTTGGGTATCTGAATAAATATAAACTTGACCAAGCCTTCTTGTTTGAGAAATACAGCCTAAAACATATTACTCTTGATAAAAATTGAAGTTATTAGAATGTTCTGATTTAACGTTGCTTTCACCAGCTAGTTGTTGCTTTATAAATGTCATTTGCCATGTAATTCCAAATGACTTCACAGACTACAGAGCATGGGATTATTGTGTCAAAAGGAGGCTTTCACGATCTCACATAAGCCAGAAAGACTTTAGTTAAACTTGCGTAAGAAGATGTATCGGCTGTTTGGCCCAGGAAGGTCTTATTTGAATGACAGCATTTAAGAGACCACATGACATTTCTAAAAAACTGGACTAGAGTTGATAACAGATGAAGGATTAGTTTGTTGTTTTTGTAGTCAGTATAGTCCCAAACCGTGGATCTATTGCTTAGATCCATTTATACCATCAAGTCAGCCCAAGACAAAATTACGACTCTAGTTGTCTGGCATAGCCAACTACTCCAAAGTTGGTGGCATAAAACAATAGCCTTTAGAATAGGCTTACATATTCTGTGGACTGACAATTTGGAAAAGACACAATAGAGATGGCTTGTCTCTGCTCCGTGGTGTCTGGGCCTCAGCTGGGAAGACTGGAACAACTGAGGCTGGAGGATCTACTTTCAAGATGGTGTCTTCTCCTGCATGCCTAGCTGGGCTGCTCCAAGCTGGGCTTACTGCGACTGTTGACCAAAGCACTTACAAGTATGTGGCCTCTCCACATGGCTTGGGCTTCTCATAGCACGGCGGACAGGTTCCAAGAGGAAACATTCTAAGAGCAAGTATTTCAAGCACAAGAGTCCCAAGAGGCTAGAAGAGACAGACGCGGTGTCGCTTTCTCGGACCTAGCAGCGGAAGTGATATAGTCACTTTTCTCGTACTTATTGGCTGAAGCAATTGGAAGCCCATACAGAATGAAGGGGAGAAGTCAATGAGGGGAGAGTAATATGTGACCATTAAAAACAAAAGAAAATAAAACAAAACACAAAACCAACCCCACTATCATGGTTTTGGCAAGATGGAAAAACCAGGAGCTTGGCTTTGAAGCCAAATTCCTCTGTTTCCAAATGAGTGACCTTAGGCAAGTTACTCGACCTCTTCCTTCTTGTACAAATGTCGGTAAGAAGTAACCAGAATGTTGCTGTGAATAGGCACGAATCCATATTAAAGTGTATCTGTGGTTCATAAACGGCTGGCTAATGATGCTAGTCCGCTAGTCCTACTCTACTACTCTACTCCTTTTTTTTTTTTTTTTTTTGAGACGGAGTCTCGCTCTGTCGTCCAGGCTGGAGTGCAGTGGTGTGATCTCGGCTCCCTGCAAGCTCTGCCTCCTGGGTTCACGCCATTCTCCTGCCTCAGCCTCCCAAGTAGCTGGGACTACAGGTGCCAGCCACCACGCCTGGCTAATTTTTTGTATTTTTAGTAGAGACGGGGTTTCACTGTGTTAGCCAGGATGGTCTCGATCTCCTAACCTCGTGATCCGCCCACCTTGGCCTCCCAGAGTGCTGGGATTACAAGCGTGAGCCACTGCGCCCAGCCCTTTTTTCTCTTTTAAAAAAGTATAGTTTTATCAAAATACAATTAGTGCAATAAAGTACATATATTTAAGCTGTACAATTTGATAAATTTTGATGTGTGAATTATACCCATTAAACCATCAGCACAAAGAAGGCAATGAAAATATCTAGCAACCAAAAGTTCCATCCTCCCTCTCCTCGCTCCCCCTTCCACTCCTCATCCCTGGCAACCATGGACTCATCTGCTTCCTGTTTTAAGACTGGGCTTGCATCTTCTGAAGTGTTGCATGAGTGGAGTCACACAACAGTACTCCTGTCTGACTTCCTCACTTAGCAGACATTATTTCAGATTCTCCATATTGTATGTATTGTTCATCTGTAACTTCTTCTATTGTTGAACATTATTCTGTTGTATTGATATATCAGGTCATTTTCATCTATTCATTTTTCTTTCTTCTTCCTTTTTTTGTCTTAATCACTTTTGCCTCCTTCTTCGGGGAGAAGCATCCTTGATCTCCCTCCCATAGCGCCACCCAAGTCTGCCCTCACAGCACTGTTCAGAAGGCAGCGTCTCCTGGGTCCCTCCATGGAGCAGGGGCATGCAGTCGCACCCTACAGAGGCCACCTACGAGGTCACGCCTCAAGCCTGGCCCTTCCTTTCGGCTCAGCTCCGTTAGAATTCCAAACCTCCTCTCTTGTGACACCTGAGGGAGGCACTGACAGACATTCTTTAAGCCCTCAGGAATTTCCTTTTCCTTTAAAGAAAGAGAAATGGAATTCCAAGCAAGGGCCCTGCAGGAGAGGATTTTCCTGCAGGATGTATTTATGTTCTTTCTGCTTCCTGTCCTCACTGGGCATCACAGCAGCAGAGGTGCATGCGTTCTGGAAGCTAAAAGGTGCCTGCAGCCCCGGCCTCTCTTTCTGCCCCACGCCTTTTAGCATGAGACCCACATCTCCTCCAGCCCAAGAGCAGTTTCACTCATGGCTGGAGCCAAAGAACACACAGAAAGCTCCAAATACTGGGGGTGGTGAGGGCAGCATTGCATCCAATTATGGTGAGAGAGCGGTGTCCTTCTTTCTCTTTTATTAAATTATTTTGAGATAGAGTTTCCCTCTGTCACCCAGGCTGGACTGAAGGCTCTTTGCCTTCTCAGCTCGCTGCAACCCCTGCCTCCCAGGTTCATGTGATTCTTCTGCCTCAGCCTCCCGAGTAGCTGGGATTACAGGTGCGAGATACCACACTTGGCTAATTTTTAGTAGAGATGGGGTTTTGCCATGTTGGCCAGGCTGATCTCGACCTCTTGACCTCAGGTGATCCACCTGCCTCGGCCTCCCAAAGTGCTGGCATTACAGGCGTGAGTCACTGCACCTGGCATGTCCTTCTTTCTCTCTTGTAGTTGTTGTCATTCTCCAGGCCCCTGCCGGAACTCCTCACTGGTGTCCCTGCTGGGACCCTAATCTCCCCAGGTTCCCCTCCACACAGGAGTCAGAGATCCTGCTAGAAGTATATTGGGTCACCCCCTCTCCACTCAGAACCTGACAATGGCTTTCCTGTTGCACTTGGAGGAAAATCGAAGGTCCCCACAATGGCTTACCAAGCCATCGGATCAGCCTTAAGTCCTCAGACAGACCTCATCACCTGCCTTGCTGCCTCTAGGGCTGGCCAGGGGACACGTAAGGTCACCCAGGGCCCCAGCTTGGAGGGGCCCCACAATCCGTTCAGTGTTCTGCTGTTGTCTTTTTGAAGGTTTAAATAATTTTTGAACACGAGACCCTGCATTTTCATTTTGCACTGGGCCTTGCAAATCATATGGCGGCTCCAGTCACATAGGCCTCCGCTGATATTCAGTCAGGCCAGGCACATCTCAGCTGCTTCAGGGGTCAGGCAGCGGCGGCCTGTTCCCTCTGCCAGGGAAGCTCATTTGAGAGATGTGCACCTGGCTGCTTCTCCCGTTCACTCAGGGCTCAGGTCAACTGTTTCCCCAGCAGCCAGGAGCCACAGATCATGCCTGTAATCCTAGAACTTTGGGAAGCTGAGGCAGGAGGATCCCTTGAGCCCAGGAGTTCAAGACCAGCCTGGGCAACATAACGAGACCCCACCTCTAAAAAAATATATATATATATATATTTAAGTAGTGGAGTGTGGCAGCACAGTCCTGTCATCCCAGCTACACGGGAGGCTGAAATTGGAGAATCGCTTGAGCCCAGGAGGTCAAGGCTACAGTGAGCCATGACTGGGTCACAGCTCTCCAGCCTGGGAGACAGAGCAAGACCCTGTCTCAAAAAAAAAACCAAAAACATAAAACAAAAACAAACGAACAAAAAACCCAACGTCTCCCCAGAAGAGAAAACTTTCTGACCACTCTGTCATGGTGTCAATGCCCCTCAGCCCCTGCGGCCACCTCCTCTCAGCCGTTCCACCTGTCTCAGCCTGGCTTGATGTTCTATAGTTCCTAATAGGAAGTTGTTCTTGTTTTCCCCATGTAAGGTCGTTGAGGGCAGGGACATTGTCTGATTTGTTCATTTCTTTTTTCCGGGGCCTAACACAGGCACACAGATGTTCCTCAGTACGTTTTTGTTGAGCTAAGTTTTACCTCCCAGCCACATCATGAATGGTGACGTCTCACCAGGAGCACATTTTAATCCTATGAATTTGGCTGGGAGAGAAGTTCACAGGACACATTGAAAGATACATTGTTTTATTTTAATTGTAGTCAATTGGCTTTTCTCAGACTACTATAAAGTCACATTTATCTTAGTCTCTTTGCCTTTTTTTTTTTTTCTCTCTTTCTCTTCCCCTGGTTTTCTATAGTTCTAGTTCTGTGTTTTAAACACAAGGTATGGAAAAGTTGAGATTTTTTTTAAACATCGAAGAGAGAAGCATGCCTGTTTCTCTCTTCGAAGAAAAGAAAAAGAAAAAAAAAAAAGAAAGAAAAAAGGGAAAACAGAGAAACAAGATAAGGCATGGGAGATATCCGAAGAAGCCCCCAGATGGCTCCGAGTGGGACAGGCTCAGCTGCAGAGGGCGGCCACTGCCTGGTGTCCTGACTACAGGTCCCAGGGCCCTGCCCCGACCCACGCAGGGCAGGAATGTGAGTGCCCGCGGTGTCTCTGAGGTCATGTAGCCTAAACTCTAAACATTTTATGTTCTTTCGGAGTGGAAACGATGTGTCAGGTTAGCAAAGAAAGAAAGTAAAACAAAACAAAATGGAGAGGAGCGGAGAGGAAAGAAAAGGAGAAAAAGACAATAGACGGGAGGGAAGTGGAGGAAAAGGGAAGGAAAGGAGGGAAAAGAAACCATAAAAGGCATACCTGGATGATTCTGCCTCCGGGGGAGAAAATTAATTTCTTGAGATTACAAAGCTGTTTCGTTGTAGGTCAGGCTCCCAAATTTAAATTTTCTGACTTTCTATTTGATATTAAATGTCCTTTAATAGACGAAATGATCATTGACATCTACATGTCCGATCGAGTTAAATATTTATTACCGTTCTCCATGTTCAAGTGAATTTTTCTAGCATTACTCATTTCAATGAGCAATTTCTGTCTAGGTGTGTGCCCTTTACACGCGGGCATCAGTGGCTCCACAGCCAAGAGATCAGCAGACGGTGAAGGCCGGGTCAGTGGGCCGCACGCAGGCCCTCCAGCAAGCTAAGAGGGCCGGCCGGGGGTCCTGGCATACACCTCCCTCCAGTCTCTCTTTTTGCACCTGGATGAACAGAAATGGATTAATAATAATCTTTGGTTCTTGCCATACTCTCCCCGTTGGTCCATGCACGCCCCTCTACGGTTTCTATGGAGATTTGTTTGTTTGTTTTTTTTAATAATTATATCAACTCCCATGGACTCACCTGGCAACCCGGGAACCAGAACCCTGACAACGCGGTGCCTCCACCCAAGGGGCCCCCAGCCTGGCCTCTACCTCCCCAGACCCGCAACTGGAGGAGGTCCCTTTCCTGGGTCTCGTGAGGCTTTTTCCCTTTGCTTTTAAACACTTGTCCTTTCTGAAATAGTTGACATTCCTCCCTGTGTTCTCAAAAGGAATGTTGTTGAGTTTGGGTTGCTTTTAGCTGTGTACAGAGGTATCATGCTGGGGGTCATTTTTTGGGACTTGCTCGGAAGGAGGAACTGGCCTGGCACGGGACCAAAGCCTTCTGCATCCCTCGGTGGAGACAGAGCCCCCGACCATTCCCTGAATCTGGCCCTGAGCTGACCCAGCGCCGGAGGAGGGCTCCCTCCACGCCGCCTCCAGAGGGGAGCTGACAGCGCCGGACACTCGGGCCTCTGCCTGCCGGGGTCTGCTTTGGATTCCGCACCTGCGCTCCAGGCAGAGCTTCCAGCCACCCACTTTGCAAGAAGCCGCCTCGCTCCCCCACCTGTGCAAACACAGGGCTTCCTGTCACCACGTGGCCCAGGGCGCGAGGCCGCGGACGGGGAGCTTCGAGCTTTTAATTTCCTAATGAGAACCGCTGTAGACCTGGAAAACAGCTGGTGTCCCAGGGGCCACGGCTCAGTGTAATTCAATTGCGTCTTTATGATTTCTGTCTTGTCCTCTGCAATTTCCCACAAACCTGAAACACGTTTGGCCACTCACTTTCCCTCTCTCCGCGATCAGCAGACTCAGCGCTCAGGGAGGTTCTTACAGCACGGAATGGGTTTTACTCCCTAAGTCCCAGGTGGGAGGTAACAGGGTACGGACTTACTCATGCGATCGAGGTACAATGTAAGGGCGCTGAGTCTGCAAGGAGAGTTAACTCAGTTCCAAACAGGGTCCCTCCCACGGTCTCTGTCCCCGCTATTAGTCACCATTTTCTTTAAAACAAGAGGCTGGTGTGTCATAGTAGAAAGAGCATGGACTTCCAAGTCAAGACCAGAACGTGGGTTCCAGTCCCACTTGTGCGTTCACCAGTTGCGTGGCCTGGGACCTTGCCTGCTGGTAGTTTCCTGACCTGTGAGATGGAGCCGGATACCGACTTCCCAGGGCATGATGAAGATGAACGGAGACAAGATGGGAAACACGCGGCTCGCACAGCCTGTAGGTCAGGGGTAGCCTCAGACAGACCCCCAGCTCCTCCCCCTGCCTCGGCAGCAATCCCAACACTCGGGCTCTCTCTCCATCCTGATCCATCCTACACCACGGTCAAATGACTCATCCCAAAGCAGCGTCTTGTATATATCACATTTCCTTCCCTCCCCAACCAAACCACACCCCTAAACAACAACAGAAACCCTCCGAGGTTTCCCAATGCCTTCAAGATGGCATTGACCAACTTACATCAACCGAAATTTAGAGTCCATTTACCCCCTCACAGGGGCCCTTATTACTCCTATACCTTAATCCGCTTTGCTACACAAACTCATTGCTCTCTGAGTGTGCCAGATTCATGCCAGGCCCACCTCTTCCCCTGCTCCCCAAGTTCATGCCGCTCCCCTTGCACAGACTCCTTGCCCCTCTGTGGCATTGCATCTTTTCTTTGAAATGCTGGCAAAGTCCCATCTCCTCCTCTCCCATCCCGTTGGCTATTTAATGTATCCCACCTCGATTTGTTGTTAGTCACCTGTGTATGCAGCCAGCAGCGCCTGGCATAGGCTCTGTAGAAGATGTTCAGAAACGTGAAGTAATGACTGCAGGTATAAAAGCACAAATGTCAAAGGCATGTCCATTTAGAAATTCAACTGGAATTCAACTGATAACAATTTCCTCCCATGCAATTTTGAAGTATCAGTAGCCGGACTGAAATGATCAAGTTTGAGTTTGTATATTGCTCTGTGTGTATGTGTGTGTGTGTGTGTGTGTTTAGGGAGTTGCATTTAGTGGTTTATCTCCACTTTATTCAGCTCCAAGTGGGAAATAATTATCTTCACTTCTTTCTCCTGCTACTCTCAGCTGATAAGCTCTCTCAGACCACACTGATCGTTCAAGCAATCGAAATACTGGAATTCAGGAAAGATAATTGAAGCGAAGATAAGGCTGACAATTGTTGACCAGTTTCCTCTTTAACTTTTCTCCCAGACTCCCTGTGTAGTTTAGTCTTCTGTATTTTCTGTGTCTTTTTGCTAAAGCAGCTTAGCCTGTAATTTCGTCCAGAACCTTCCAGTGCCTTCCCAGAGCCACTTGAAGGCATTGGGAAACCTCAGAGAGTTTCTGTTGTTGTTTAGGGGTGTTGTTTAGCCTGTAATATAATACATCAAAGAAAGTGGTCTTCTCAGAGCCCACTGGCAGCTGGGGCATGCTCTGACTATGTTGGCAGCGAAGGGTATAGAGGAAGGTGGCTCTGTTTAAGCTCTAAACTAGGCTGTTTAGATTCCAGGCATTCTTGATAAGTTATACCTAAACCTGTACTTGGACAAGGACCAAAAGATTGTGCATCAGCGCCATACCCAAGATATTTGAGGATTCTGTCAAATTGAAGATTGACTAGTGCCCATGTGCAATGATGTAGTCAAGAGAATATTGAATTGAAGCAATTAAACAGTAATATCTTGAATTCATGTTTTTGAAAAGGCTGTTAACTGCAGTCCATTTTTCTGCCTACCAGGAAGAGTTTGAAGTTTGAAATCCCAGCATGAAGAAATTCATCCAGCTTGGAGACTTCCAATCCCTTCATTGTGCAGAAGGTTGCTAATGCTCTCAGGAGAAGCCCTTCACCAAGAGGATACTTCCGTGCAGAGTCCTCTCCACTGAGACTAAGGAAACATGCTATGTCATGTAGCCACAGCAGCCTTTGCAGCTGTTGAAGGCAGCAAGACTTGCATGGCAACCAGAAGACACAGAACCAAGACTGATATCCAGTTATAAGATGGCAGATGGGACGCACACACGTCAGGCTTAGTGAGCAGCCAATCCAGAGGGAACCATACTCAGAAACCCCTAGGGGCTGGGCATGGTGGCTCTCGCCTGTAATCTCAGCACTTTGGGAGGCCAAGGCAGATGGATCACCTCAGGTCAGGAGTTTGAGACCAGCCTGACCAACATGGAGAAATCCCATCTCTACTAAAACTACAAAATTAGCCGGGCATGATGGCGCATGCCCGTAATCCTCAGGCAGGCTGAGGCAGGAGAATCACTCAAACTCAGGAGGCAGAGGTTGTGGGGAGCCGAGATCATGCCGTTGCACTCCAGCCTGGGCAGCAAGAGTGAAATTCTGTCTCAAAAAAAAAAAAAAAAAAAAAAAAAGAAAAGAGAAAAGAAAAAGGAAAAGAAAAAAAAGAAAGCCCTAGGAAGATTTCTTCAAGCAGATGAAACTAATGATATCCCTAGTGTGTTTGAATATATTGAGAGGAGATCACATAAAAGGGACACTGTTTAGGGTTGAATTAATAGCAAGCAAATGGGATGCTAAGCAAATGTAAAGAATAAAAGTTCAAAGGGAAAACAAAATGTTATTTAAGAAAGTAAAAGCATCCATCACACACTGTTTTTTGTTTTATGTTTTGTTTCTTTTTTGAGACGGACTCTCGCTGTCGCCCAGGCTAGAGTGCAGTGGCACGATCTCGGCTCACTGCAAGCTCCGCCTCCCAGGTTCAGGCCATTCTCCTGCCGCAGCCTCCCAAGCAGCTAGGATTACAGGTGCCCGCCACCATGCCCGGCTAGTTTTTTTGGTATTTTTAGTAGAGATGGGATTTCACTGTGTTGGCCAGGATAGTCTCGATCTCCTGACCTTGTGATCTGCCGGCCTCGGCCTCCCAAAGTGCTGGGATTACAGGCGTTAGCAACTGTACCTGGCCCATACACTGTTTTATATACCACTTGCAGTGTCATAATTGTTAAATATTAAATATCTATTGATCTATCCAAAATTACAACATAAGTATATTTGGAAGATGGAGGAGTGGGTGCTGAGTGTTTATGGGAGAAGGGAGGCTGAGGTGAAGGTGGGAGAGAAGGAGAGGGTGAAATATTCATTTTCCAAATTGGAAACTCAATAGATAATGCCTAAACATGAAATATCTAATAGAAACGTAATATTTAAACATATGGTGGTGCTTCTGGGAAAAAGAAAAGAGGATGGGGAAGACTGTTTGTATGTTGTTTAAAAATACAATTGTTTGTTTAAACATGCAATATGGATGAAATTAAAGGGCTAAGCTGCTTTAGCAAAAAGACACCAAAATACAGAAACTTAAATGAGATAGGTATAAGTTTCTCTTGTTTGATATGATCTCGAGAGAAGCAATCTGGGTTGGAAGGTCATCTTTATGATTCTTAAAACGTAGCTTCCACCTGTGGGACTAAGGCAGCCATTCTAGTTTTTGTCTTCCCAGCCAGAGTGAAAGAGGACTGGGTCAGGAGAGCACATGTGCATAACTGATAGGAACATGCCCCAGAAGGGCCACGCATCCATTGGTCAGGATGTGGGCACATGGACCACAGCTGCATGGGAAGCTGGGAAGCATAGGGTCTAGCTGTGAGCCATGTGCTCAGCTAAGATACTGGAGCCCTGATATTAAAGAAGGTGAGGCTTGATGCCAGTACTCAACCAGCAGTCTCTGTCACATCAGCTTTGCAGAATCGTTTGATTCTTTCAACTCGGTGCATATACAACTTCAATACAAACGAAAAGTAAATATAAGACATGGTTCTTAAAGATCATCCTTTGAACAATTGAGGACACAATCAAAACCTAGAACAGCAGGGTCCTGAAGCAGAATGCAGGCATCCCCCGAAGACGCAGTGCTAATGGACTGGAGTCCAGAGGGTCCACACCTGCTT